ATCTAACAGCTTATGCGTCGTCACGCATTTCAACTCGGAGATCTCCTACAGCAAAGGTGAGCAGTCTAAGTTGTTAGGTCCTACCAAACCGACAACAAATAACCTTTTTGGTTTGCTATGTAAACAACAATTTAGATATCAATCCACAACTTCATGATTTCTCAGACTTTTCCACTTAAACAAGGAAGTATGGTACTATGTCAGGATAGAACAGCTGGGTTTCAGGCCTACCACGACATTATCTAGCTTAACTAAGCCACCTATGAAATTAGCCTACCGACTATCCTCTAAATACCACAACCTTCCGATACTCAGTTAGGAACTAAGTTCCCTACTTCGTACTTTACTCGATTGGCTGCTTGTAGTCGGTATAGCTCAACCTGGCCCCTATACCGTGGTCGCTTTGTACACGTGTGCTTCGACCTTTCCCACACACGGGACCAACTAAGTACTTAGAGGAGAATAACACAATGACCACTCCAAGGGACAGCTTCCCAAGATGGGTTTTCAACAAATTGGGCTCTAAGAACACCACAACTTTCTCAATCCACACAATGGGATAAGCAACTTCGAAAAACATCTCCTCTAGTCTTAGTGATCAACAGCTCAGCCTTACGGCGTACACAACTCATATTCAACAACACAACTCAACTACTTTAAACAACATATTTAACACTTAGCACAACTCAGCTTAACAACATTAACAAATACAACACAACTCAGCATAACAACATTCATCTGCATAAGCATCATACAGCGCAACTTAACTTTACATCATACAACATAAACATCATACAACATAACTTAACTTTACATCATATAGCATTAACAACATTAATCAGCATAGTTATAAAAAAACACATTCGCACCTGGCGTAATAGGATTTGCGCCCGGCCTGGACCAACCAGAGAGCTCCAAAGCTCTTACGGGCCCGGCGTAATTCCAATTGTGCCTGGCACAATAAAAGACAGAGACTCCTAGGAGTCTCACAAGCCTAGCGTACCAAGCCCACGCTCGGCGCAAGCAAGGCAGAGGTCTCATGCCCGACGCAATTCCAATTGCTCCCGACGCCACCCCTGGCAAAGACCCCCAGGGAGTCTCAACACTCGGCGAGATCTAATCACACCCGGTGCCACACCAGTAACCCAACTTCTTGAGTCTCTGTCTGATATCACGCCCAGCACGATTCTTTCACGCCCGGCGTGAGCCATCCAGGGACTTCCATTCCCAAGCTCGCCCGGCGCAACCAACCCTGCGCCTGGCGTGCTTGATCAATGGAACTCTCTAATGGTTACACGCCCGACGCCAAGAACTACGCCCAACGCAATTACAAACAACAACCCTCAAACTTCAAAAATTTCACCCAAAACCTGAAAATTCAAACAACTCAAACACATGCAATCCATCAAATGAACCACATTTTCAGCATACAACTCAAAAATCAACTCATTTTCAACATGCAACCATCAAACACCTAAAAATCCCCATTTTCTAAAAACCCCGAAAACGCAATCTCGTCAAATTCGACCATCATTTTTCAAAAATCAAACAAAATGTGAGTTTCTAAACTCACTTCCAAACAATCAGCACGAATCTAGCTTCCCTTACCTCGAAGAAGAAGAATCCGAGCTCCAGGGAAGCGAAAAGGAAGAAGAAGAGGAAAAATCCACGACTTTGCGTTTGAAAGAAATAGAGAAGGGTTGATGAACCACCTTGGTGCTCACTGCTTCAGCCTTAGAGAAAGGAAATCAAAATCAGATTGAGAGGCTTGAGAGAATAAGGGAAATGAGGGGAAAAGAGAAATGACAAAAGAGAGTGAGAGAGAGAGGCTGCAGGTCTCACATCTGCCACAATATTAGTTTTACTTCTATGATCCTCTCCAAAGATCAAACACCTAAGCATAAGTTCACTAGGTATACATACCAGATTTCTAATTTCACCATTCCATCTACACCCAAGTCAAACTCTTATCCATCACCTTATCCTATAGCCTCACGTTTTACCACCAAAAATGAATAATCTAAATGTGCTTTTCCAATTTCCTTTGACAATCCATTAGTTACTCGAGTCATACCTAGTTTCACACTACTAGGAGTAATCTCACAAGTCAAACTTAAATCCTTACGCTACTATAGAATGTATTATCTATATCGGTTCTACAAGGTAATCTACATCGGTTCTAAAGCCGATATATAATAGGGCGATGTAGATTTGTGCTAAAATCTACATCGGTTTTACTAACAACCGATGTAGATTACATTTTTTTTAAAAAAACTTCATTTATTTTTTAGATTCTTTCTGATTACCTATAATAAACATATATATATATATATATATTATATATATATATATAAATCTCAAACAGAAATTATATTAAAGAAATAGACATGTAACATGTTAGCATCCACACTATCTTATCAACATGCATGCCTCTTGACACACTAAATATAACTAAATATGGAACAAGATTATAAAATTTATAAAATACCCAATAACAACTATATTTCTCTCAACCCTTATATACCTGTTTCTGAAGATTAAGCCAAGTTAGTATTTCTCTTCTTAATTCAAGATGCTCAGCACAAACAGCTTTTGTAGGAACCCTTGGTTTCAAATTGACCTGGGAACACAGTAGAACCAATTAAAAAGGAAGTGGATCAGAGAGTCAATATTGTTCTTGCGTGATTGTGCAACACACATTTCCATACATATGCTCAAATATGACATATAACAAACATTTCTGCTCGGATAAAATATGTATATATTGTTGGAGAATTTAAGCTTCAGCAAGCCAAAAACAAAGCTGATTTTACCCTTAAATAAGCTCAAGTTTACTTTTATGTTAACATTAATATAATTAATACTTTTATTTTTAATATATATTTTTTATTCATAGCTTCTTATTTTGTTCTTTACACAATAGAAAACCCGTTCAAGTTTAAGCAAAATGATGAGAGCTCAATTTTCTGTCACCCGACTTGCAATTCTTGTGCAGTTTATTGCTTTCAACTTATCCAATATATTGTTTTCAAATTTTGCATTATTGCATATTATGACCAATGCTCTATATTTAAAGTTTGAAATAATTTGTATTATTTGTCCAGAATTACCCTCTAAATTATTGGGATCTCATTTTCTAATTCCTTTCTACCTAATTAATTAATGCATTTCCACTTTTAACCATTCTCTTATTCTATAAAATGCCAAAGTGAATGAAAGAGGCAGCTCTGACTAGTGATCTTCCCCTATCTTTGTGAGAGTCCAAGAAATTAATTTACTGCAATTATTATTCATAGACTAGAAAAAATAGATGAGTAATTAAGAACATTTTCTGTTAATTTTTTTTAAATGCAGTAAATAATTTAGAAGGGGTCCTATGAAAAGGACCAAAGAAAACGTCAAAAACAGTTCTTACAAATTCACCAAAAAAAAGGTTCTTATAAAAAATAAACAATATTTTCCATTTTTTAATCCTTAACAAGTGTTCACTAGTTAACATTTGCCTATATATTGTTAAAAACACAGATAAGTGAATACTAGTAACTGTACCAGGGACAAAAAAAAATGAAACATCTAAACTGAATTAAAAGTTCAAGGGAGTAAAGACAAACACCAAGATCTTGCAAAGTTTTCTCAACCCGTTTGATAGTTCTAAGTCCGGCAGAAGCATTCGCAGCTTGCACCATTTGCTCAAGTGCATATGTTCAAAAAAATAGTTCAAAATTTTGATATGACATCAACGTAACAATGATTTGAATTCTGACCCTACTCATTTTGACATTACCCAATTCAAAAGCTTTAAAATAAATATCGAATGTTTTACCATGATCATTCTACAAAAACCACTATCTCCATCACAAACAGCATTACTTATCCATCTGGGAGGGAATAATTTTTTCTAAACCTCCTACATTAATGCATACATAAGCTCAAGCAAGACCAGGCTCCAAATAAATGTTGTCACAGCAAACCAAAAGGTATCCTCACAAAAGACACCCCTCAGCAAAAGTAAATGATAAATTAGGCCAACACTCAATTGCCAAAATCAAATAAAGTTGCGATTATTATGATTCTGATAATGTATCTCTTATCAAGTTTATAGAATCTCGCTGTTGGCATCAATCCATACCAAAATAAATGTACTCCACACTAAACTTGGGGTTCAAGGATTTAAAATGGAAGCCTAGGAACAGAGATATGTAAAATAGAGATAATTGCTTTATTGGATAGAGAGAACAAATATAATTATAACCTCCCTAAACAGAGCAATTGTGCCATAGAGAACAGCATACATGTATTTTATTTTTGCTTTTCTTTCTTGTTTCTCCTAGCATAAATCCTCCAAGTCCTAAGGCCCATTTGCTTGGCAGTTGTCTCAACATTAATTGTTCTCTATCAACCAATCAATATCTTTAGACAAACTAAATTAATGACTGAAGGAAAAACCTCTTGGATGTAACAGTATAATTTGTTGAGAATAGACCACACAGGAATAACATGATATCCTTTTCTTCCCAAGAAAAAAAAACAAAAACGGCTTTCAACAATATGATTTTTATAATCTCCAACATGCTAACAAACAATTTAGCACTTATAATTGTGCATACACAAAAATATATTTTAATACTACTCTTGCAATAGAAGTCAGTCGAGACTCAACAATCACAACTTGATACAGTGAATAAAATTCAGTATGGGTAGCATAAAAAAAAATGCAACATGATAGCTTGAGCAAACCATTCAAAAAATTGCATAAAATTGTACAGTTAGACATGATACCCACAAGATCTGTCAAATACTTGTCATACTCCTCATCTGTGTATTTGATTACGTCAACAGATTGCACCACAGCCAGTAAACTAACATTAAATCATACAAAAAGACGATGATGCCCAAAAATAAATTCAGAAATCAAGCAATGCAAGACATGCATGAAGACAGAGTAAACTCACATTTACCTTATTATACTTAGCAAAAGAGTAGTCCCCTGTAGGAGGAACACCGTTGACAACTCGTACCTGAATTAGGAGAGACAAATAACAATTACTCGTGTGTTCATAATCACAGATTATATTCAAAATTATACCGAGATAGTTACTTACCCAATGATAGAGGTGAAGATTATCTTTACGAGCAGAACTAGCGAAAGGAAGCCACTGCCAAGAGACCTGAAGAAGAAGAGAAAAATGTGAAATTATTCAATAGTTAAACCACCAAAGTAATTAAGTACTGCCAAAACAAAAAAAAAAGAAAAAGAAAAGCAAACCTTTTCGAGAGGAGGAGGCTTTTTCTTCAATTGAGAAGCTTCAATTGCAGGCATAAGAGGTGCGAGTCCACCAGCGGCAGAGGCAGTGCAGGGGAAGGTATGGGAGGGAGGAGAGTGTGGGGGCCGATGTAGGAGGCGAGTTCGCTCTTGGCGTGGTTGAGTTCGGTCTGAAGCTGCTTGAGGCGGTGCTGGAGGATGGAAATGAGGCCAACGCGGCCGTACACAGGGTCCCGGAGACGCGCCTCCGCCTCGTAGGCGAGGGACTTGACGGCGTTCTCGTGCTGCGCCGCGTTAAGCTTGTTAAGGAGATTCAAGTTTGTAGAGGAGAACAGATTTGGGAGAATGGCATAGGCTCTGCTTGTGTGCGATTTTTTCGAGCTATACTACATCGGTCCTTAAAGAAATTGACGTAGAACAACACATATTTACATTGTTTTTGCTTCGAACCGATGTAAATATGCTAACATTTTACATTTATTTACAAAATTGTCACTGCATTTTATTTTTACGTCATTTTTAAGCCAACCGATGTAGAAATGGTGATGTAGAACAGTACTTTTGTAATAGTGTTAGACCGAGCCAAAAGGTCCATCTCTTTAATCTTAAGGGAAGTTAACTGTAGAGGCTTCCTACTCAAAGCATCGACCATCCATTGGCTTTACCAAGATAACAACTAAGATTAAAATCCTAGTCTATAAAAATTTCAACTCTTTTGTCTCATATTCAACTCCTTCGGGTCAAACAATATTTAAGGCTCTTACGATTACTAATTACCTCAAGCTTAGAATCATATAGGTAGTGTCTCCAAATCTTAGTGTAAATATCACAATCGCTCACTCAATGTCATGGGTAAGGTAATTCCTCTCATGAATTTTCAATTTCAAGAAACATAAGCTACTACCTTTCCTTCTTGCATCAACACTCCCAATCCCATCTTAGAAGCATCACTATATACCACAAAAGTCTTACTATAATCCGGTAGTATTAACACTAGTCAATCTTTCCTTATGAGTTTGGAACATACTCTCACATTTTCCATCTTTCACAAGGCAACTCCTTCCTAGTCAATCTAGTCAAAGGTAATGCTATCTTAAAATTTACTCAATAAATCTCCTATAATAATAAGCTAATCCAAGAAAACTCATAATCTCACTAACTGACTTTGGTATCTCTCACTTAAGCATGACCGCTACCTTAAGTAGATCTACGTTATACCTCTGCTAGAAATTATAGGGCCTAGAAAACTCACCTCATACAATCAAAAATCACACTTAGATAAATTAGCGTAAAGCTGTCTTGGATATATTCTCACACTCAATTCCAATATGATGATATCACACCCTAAGGTCAATCTTACTAAACACATAAATACTCGTTAATTGATCCATAAGGTCATATATCCTCATATCAACATACATGCATATCAAATCATATTAGAATACCTACTTTAAACCTTCATATATACCATCCCTAAGCATGTACAAATCAATCACCATTTCCACCATATAACATGTACATGAACCAACCTTACCACATAGCATCATACCATCTTAAACAACCTCTCAATGACAACACCTCAGAACATCATATCCAAATCAGTTTCTATCCTTGCTATGCCTAACAACTCAAAAACATCATGACAACATATACCTCCCTTCAACAACTGTCAAATAAAATGACACACAAAGAGTTATACTCATCCAAATGATCCCAAACATGTCTCAAAAGAAAGCTAAGAGAATAAGCTATAACTCTTATGAAGACATAAGATTCTAAAAAGATCATCTTCTTAGCTAAAAATTCAAAAACCACAACAAATATATTCAGCGCTTACAACTAGACTTCTGATCACCAAAGCAGTTATAACTAGAGTTATAGACCTCCGTTTTACCTGATTCCAGTTCCATTAGAAAGATAACGTCCAAGGCTAAAACTTTTATGAAGACCACAAAATCTAATTCTATCAATACGGTACTCATACTGGCACAACAAAAATTCAGCGAAAAACATTCTCTACACCAAACAACAATAGTGTATCAACATCTAAGGCCACAAAAATATCACAATCCTTTCAAACTCACTCCTTTCCACCTCAAACTCATATTCAAGCTTTCCACTACAATCCTAAACCAAAACAACTCACATATTCCACACAAACGACTTAGAGCTGAAATAAAATCCTCATGCAACCTAACCCCTAACTAGGTTAGTATGCAAGCATCAAAACTTAAGGAAATCACCAACACTTTGACCTTTCATCAAGAACGCTCATAGCTCTAATGCTCAACACATAACCTCTTGGATTCACTCACTACAACTATAGCTTTTAGAAACTCCACCAATCGTAAACTCTTAATACACTTGACAAATTAATGTCTTACCCACATCCAAGGTTCTAATAGTTCTAGTTGGTTAGCACAAGGCTTCGTCCACTACTACTGACACATATGCTCACAACACGAGCGATAACACTCAACCATTACTTCTTATATAAGCAAGAAGTATCAAAACAAATAAGCAATCATGAATAGAATCAACTAAGCTATATCATGTCTTTTAGCCAAATTCTGAGAAAATAATATACAAGTAAGCACAACACTAACAACACAATGGAAACATCATCATCATCATCATTATCGTCATCATCAAGCAAAATATTGTTAGAGTACACAGCAGAATCATGATAAGTACATAACTCACGACCGATTGGATCGACCTGCTCTGATACCACTAAATGTGACACCCTTACTACCCCAACACATATATTGTAATAATTTAAATAGACTAAGGAAATAAAATTTTTAAACATTGGTAAAAGGGTTTACATAAAAACCTTCATAAATATTCTTCAATATCCAAGATAATTAAAAATAAAAAATAAAAAAATAGAAAATGAAACATAAGAGTTTACAAATTGTTTTTACAACTCCAAATCCATATAAAAATCCATGTCCTAGAATTCCTCTGCCCCAATGTCACAATATTAGAGCATACCCACAATTCACCCGTTGGCATTCTAGATGCGACTCATAGCCGAATCTTCCTCACCTAAAACATCCACAATTGCACGGTGAGAAAAGAAAACATCTATATGTAAAGCACACAAGGAAAACCCAACACATAATCTCATCATAACTCTATCAATCATCACTAGTGAAAAATTAGTATATTACGTCACCTCTTTAACGTCGAAAACACTAAAATCCGACGTAAAAAAGACGTGGTGACATTTTTGTAATTTTTGTGAACTTTTTTACGTCGGACCTGGTATGGTCTGACGTAAAATGTCAAATCTACGTCGGATGTATGTTGTGTCCGACGTAGATTTGACATTTTACGTCAGACCCTACCAGGTCCAACATAAAAAAAGGACGCGAATTTGAATAAGAGAGTGCGAGGCACTCCGCGCACATTCACTCTTCCTTACTTTTCATTTTTTTCTCTGTAAACCCTTTCCCTCTCCTTTGTTACTGAATCATTTTTTTTGTCTTTTGCAGAGTGGGGTGAACTCTTTGTTACTCATTCGCACACTGTTGCAGCTCATCAGGTATGAATCAAGGTTTCGTTAACACCTTTTTGCTTTGCATTGCTATTGTGGCTATTTGTTCTATTCGGTTTTTTGGTTGTTCTATTTGTATAGGTCGTTGGCCTTTTCTTTTGGGTTGTTCTACGAAGCAGAACGGCCAGTTCTCCTTGCAGAATGGGCCATTTTGAATGGAGAATGGGCCGTTCTGCTTGCATTCATTATTTTATTTTATTTATTTTTACTACTTTTTTACGTCGGACCTTGGTAATGTCCGACATAAATTTACGTCAGTTTTGCAGGGCCGACGTAGATTTACGTCTCCCGCATTAACGTCGGTATTTTTTCTGACGTAAAAAGCTCAAAATAACCGACGTAGAATACCTCTTTTGTACTAGTGCATGCATCATCTTCACATCATAACTCGCAATCACACCCATTCATCACAAATCTTACAATTATCATTATCATTTTCACATCCATAATTCACACAAATCTTACACTTAACACTATGCCAAGGCCACACCACATCTGAAATAAGCGAGACATGTTAATTGTCTCGCTCATCCCACACCATGCCAGGGGCACGCCCTCCCTGTAGCATCACTTACCCAGGGGCCATCTCATCCCTGGTCATTAGTGTGAGGAACCACAATCACATCACAATTCACACATATCTTACAATTAACCCTATGCCAAGGCCACACCACATCTGAAATAAGCGATACATGTTAATTGTCTCACTCATCCCACACCATGCCAGGGGCACGCCCTCCCTGTAGCATCACTTACCCAGGGGCCGTCTCATCCCTGGTCATTAGTGTAAGGAACCACAATTATATCACATCAACATCTCATTTCATGTCAACATACTCACATCATGTTATCAATTCAATATTAAAACAGTATATATAATGTATATATTTGTACGAAGGCAGCACACCACATTCCATGTCTAGATCATCAATTTTACCAAATAATGTAACAATAATATTAATAAATTAGTATAAAACCAGATTGAATCATCAATTTAGTAGAATCTTAACTCAAATAATAAAACCCTCAATTTCTCCAAAAACCTAACTCATAGGCACTTTTCTACAATTTCGTTCTCTCTCCCAGATCATCATTCCTACAAATTAAATATATATTCTAATACTCAACACATTTAGAATCTAATGGGATCATCAATTCCTCAAAAAGAAATAATTCCTCAAACAGAAATAATCCAAATTTTCCAAAACCTAACTTACAGACACTTTTCTATAATTTTGTTCTCTCTCCCAAATCATCATTCTTACAAATTAAATATATATTTCTAATCCTCAATACATGTAAAATCTAATGGGATCATCAATTCCTCAAACAAAAAATAATTATAAAATTACTCATAATCTTAAGGGACTCTTCCTCTACCCAATTCCCTCATGTAACTTTGCATACAAATAATCCCCTTTCCCCCGTACCTCGATAAGTAGTAGTTGAAACTAAAACAGAGATTTCCTTGGTCTCCTCCTCTGAGTGGTCTCCTCCTTTGAGTGGTCTCCTC